GGGGTCCGGAGTTGGTTAGGGAGGGGACCCGAAACCGGAAGGGGGGGGAAAGTTGGCAAATAAGGGGGGGGGGGGCTACCGTAGGGAGGCTTGTTTACGCCCAGAGCGACAAAAGAGTTATGCCGACCGTAGGGAGGAGGCTTTGGCGTTTGAGGTAGGTGATCATGTCTTTCTGAAATATCCACTAGGCGAGGCCTGCATGAGCGTTGGGAAGAGTGGGAAAATTATCCCCTCGCGTTTTATGGTCCTTTTGAGATTCCTTGAGAAAGATAGGTGAGGTTGCTATCGATTGGCCCTTACCACCGCAGTTGTCCGGAGTGCATTGACGTGTTTCATGGAGTATGCTTCGGAAAGTATGAGCCAGACTCCATTCCACATGTGTGATTGACTGATTTGAGGTAGATGAGGATGCCTCGTAATGAGGAGAGACCGGTACGGGTCTTGGCTATAGGCGAGGGATCAGGTCCTGCGTGGCAAGACCATTCCTTTTGGTTGAAAGTCTTGTGAAACATCAACGGAGTGGAGGAAGCCACTGGAACGTGATTGGAAGGTCCGTTGAGAAATAATCCGGACTTGTTTGTTTGATGTTGATTTGTATTTAAATTTTACAATTATGTTGAACTTAAGCAGCTTTTATATATGTCTTAAGTTGTAAAACATTGAGAAGTTTTGATTATTGGAAGCATTTTTGGAACTTGCCTTATATGGTAGTTGGATATGTAACACTATATATGTTGAATATATTGTTGACATTGGAAAGTTAGTGCATAATGTTGGTGCATGTTAATAATACATATGTTGTTTACATATTGTGATATGTCTTCTTGTTAAAGGATGGATGACCGGTAATGGTCGAATTGTTGAATGTTAAAATGTAACATTGTTTAAAATGGAGGAAAACTTGTTTTTGAAAACTTGTGTTTAATTTCGGACGAAATTCTTTAAGGGGGGGAGGTTATAGCGATCCCGGGTTTACCCTTGTTGTATAGTGATCCGGACATGTGTCCGTGGATGTTGGTATTGTTTATTATTTTGTTTACATCCTTTTTACTTAGTATTTGAGTTATAGGATGTGTTGGGCGGATTTGTTTCAGGTGGTTGAGTTTAGAAACCAAAACTAGTTTCCCAGATTTTGGCCTGTCCGCTCGAGCGGAGGTGTTGGCGCTCGAGCGGGGAATACATCCATCCAGTATCTTGTTGTGCAGTGTTTGTGAGCTCGAGCGTAGGGATTGGGAGCTCGAGCGGAGGCCTGGTTCTGCAAAAGTGCTGGGCGAGTGCATTCTGCGCTCGAGCGGGAGGTTGGCCGCTCGAGCGGAAGTCTGTGAGTTGGCGCTCGAGCGGGGTGTTTTACGCTCGAGCGGAAGACTGGGTTTAAATCCCGAAATTTGTGACTTTTCAAATCACTTTTTCACTTCTCTTCTCTCTCTTACTTTTCCAAAAACACCATTGTTGAGTCTTTCTCTCTAGATACTACATTCTCTCTAGGTTTTGATCTAGTAGGAGTGATTTACTCACCTTTGGCCTTTACAAAAAAGTTGTTGATCGTCGAGGGGCTTCATTTTAATCTGAAAATCTCGGGTTTTGGAGAACGTTGGGTTTTGTCGTCTTTCCTTTGGGACTCCGAATTTGAGGTAGGGATAACCTACTCCTCTCTATGGTTTTGTCTTTAAATTTTGGTATTTGAGATGTTGGGCTTGGTTTGGTAAATTTTGTGAAAGTTTGGGGCTTTTGTGTTATTTTACAAAAGTTGGGGTTTTACTCATAATAAACCTAGATGCATGTTTGGCATAGAAAATGGAATGATTGTTGAATCATTGATGAAAATGGGACCTAAGGGTTGAAATGGTAATTATGGAAAATGGCCTAATTACATTGTTTAATTAATTGGGATAATTAATTGGTGAGAAATGAGGAAATGAAATGTTGATTGAATATCCATTTGTGCATTTATTTTCTGTTTTAGAAATAACTGCTTTGGGCTATCGGTGGAGGATAGTCGAGATTGTTGTAGACAATGCATGATGATTAGGTAAACAGAAACTAATCAATGGAATGTGTCATGAACTTGACGGTTGATAGAATACATTAATTGTGTGTATTATGTGATTGTATATAGAACCAATGTGTTTATATACGTTATGTGTAGAGGAGGAGATAGGGGATGTACTCCGCGGTTTAGGGGAAGATAGGGATGTACCTCTAAACCGGATAGGTATTGGGAGAGAGATAGGGATGAACTCCGTAGACAGAGCTCATATGCTTGTCTAGAGAAGTGAAGATAGAGCTCATTGCTTATCTTTGTGAAGTGTGGATACAGCTTGTATGCTTATCTGTGGATATTGTTGATATACATATCTGTTGAGATTGTGGATATAGCTTTTATGCTTATCTGAATGTGAGATATAGTTTTTATACATATCTGTGGAAATGATGATTGAGCTAGCATGCTTATCTGTTGAAAAAG